GGTCACCCTGTCGTCCCCCAGCACTCCCAGTCCCTCTCCACAGAGCTGCTCTCCAGCAGGTCCGCCCCAGCCTGTACTGGTGCATGAGGCTGTTCCTCCCCAGGTGCAGGACCCTGCACTTGCCCTTGCTGAACTTCATCAGGTTCCTCTCTGCCCAACTCTCTTGGGAACAGGAAGGCACATTCCGTCCCATCCACAGTCCAGAACAACCCCAGCACCGGGTAAGAGCACAGCAGGACAAAGCCAAGAGCTGCTTATTTAAAGTCTCACCATGACTTGGGTCCCATGGGAATCCACTTCCTTTGGGAGGGGTCCCTCTGCCGCAGGCATCTCCTCATACTTCTGCTCCTGCCACTCGCTGAACTTCACGGAGTGCTTTGGGGTGTAGCTGGATAAATCTGTTGGAAGGACAAAGCTGACATGAATATTTCTCACTGCCCGAAAAGGAAGCAGGATGGGGATCCTGGCAGGGACAGCATGGAAGCTGCCCATCTGCAGCTCCCTGTTCTGGTTCAAGCCCTGTCCCCACTAAGCCCCAATTCCACCACCAGCATTTCCACCCGTCTGGAACCCCTAAGGGGCTGCAGGAAACAGAGACAGTGTCGGACCCCACCAATGACCCCCCAGGGCCAACACAGTGCCTCGCTCACCCGAGTTAGGGGTACTGGGATGCACAGTGCTATTTGCGCGTGGAATGTAAAGGGTGCAAGACTTGTCCTCCTCTGTTTCAGAAGCATGTCCTTCCTCTTCCTCCTCCTCTTCTTCTGCCAGTGAGCTCTCCGACGGGTATTCAAACATGGTCTGCAAACTTGTCTCATTGAAAGATATCTTCATCTAGACAACAGCAAAGGAGAAGTATTAGAAAGCAGCACAAGAAACCATTGATCCCAACATTTGCTCTGGCCAAGGCAACCTCCCACGCAGGGCTTCACCCTGGTGTAAGGGAGCCATCGCCCATCGCCCCACCTTTCCCCACGCGCCTTGTCGGATCCTCACTGTGCTGAGAGACACCGCAAAGGCAGACAGCCAGACAGATGGGATGGAGTCAGGAGGCTGAGAGGTCCCGAGTACCTCTGGCTTTTTGCCCCGGCACAAACTTTGCCACCACCTAACGCTGTGATGGCCAGCAGCCAGGAGGAGCTGCCGGCGGGGGGCTCACGAGGGATCAGTGTCGCGAGGAGGAAAGGGAAGCATCCACATGTTGGAAAGGTGACATCGCGAACGCCTGCCAACTGGCTTGTGCACCCATGCTCTAGACAACAGAAACTCAGCGATCAGGGCTGCATCTCTGGGAGGACGTCCTGGCAGAAAGCTATTGAAGCTAGATAAAAACAGTTCAATACCAGAAGTGAAAAGATGGAGGGGGCTAAAGGAGAGAAGGTAAAAGGCAGTAGTAGAGGGAAAATACTGGACAAGAGGGAAGTCCTTAAAGGTCCTGCTTTGAAACCAGTTTTATTTTGTATTCTCACCAGTGACCTTTGCACAATAACCGAGAGACTGAGAAACGAAGACGACTCCAACATGGGAGTTCACCAAGGGAAAACCAGCATTTTATGGGTCGCTTGTTTCCCTGCATCCCCCCTGCAGCACGATGCCCCAACACAGGCGCAGGAACTCCAGATGGGCTGTTCCAAGTTGGCAGCAAAAGCTGAGGGAAGGGGTTGTTCCCCGCAGCCTCACATGCCCTAATCGTTATCTTCTGCCCAGAAGATCTGCTCACATGTCATCTTTCTTGAGTAGGCGGAGAGGAGACTCAGCCTGTTCACACCGGCAAAAGTGAAGGTTGAGAAAAAGCGTAACAGCTCTTTGTCAGTACACTGAGAAAATAAACGCCACGGAGCAGAGCAGAACGGCTGATGCCAGCATACGACAGACAAACAAGGGGGATAAGCTTGCCAGGAATAAATTCACGCCAAAAGCAGGGAAGTATCTAGCCAACGCGGATCAAGGTTCAGGACCAGCTGCTTAAGAGGGCGTTGTGATCCCTTTACTTCTAACCACATTTAGAATGGAGCTAACTACATTTAGAGTTGAGCTACCGGGGTTAGGAACAGAATTAAAAGGGCACGGCTGCCTGTGGCAGGCGGTAGGAGCTGGATGGTTCAGATCTCTTCGGACGCTGTGTAATAACTGGCAAGAAGAAAGCGCAGCACAACCGCCCCACGCGCAGGGGCAGAGCCCGCAAACTGCAGCGCACGGGAGCCACCCTGTGCTGCCCGCAGACAGACAGACAGACAGGCTGGAGCTCTGCGGGGATCCCGGTTCCCAAGAGGAGTGCTGCTTTCCAGAAAAGCACTGAGGGGAGCTTGAACCAAACCCGGGTCACAGAGCGAGGACCTAACGCCTCCTCTGCGCTGCAAATACGCACCATGGAGCTGCACGCTACTCTGCTCAGTTCGGGATGTGCCTCGGGCACAGGCTGGCTCCCAGGAGAAGGAACACTGGAAACAGCAGCCAGCGCAACCAGTTGCCTTTCCCCATTCCCTAACCCAGCCCTGGCCAGAGCCACTCTGACCTTCTCCACATGGCACATGGGATTGATGATTATATCTCAGAGAAAAGGGGTTGGAATAAAACGGCCCTGAAGATCAGAGCATCCCGGTTGCTGTTCCCTGAATTTGTCACCCCTGCTGCTGACCTAGATGCTCCCCGATCCGAGCCAGGCAGCGGAGCGGGCAGTGACCGCTCACAATGTGCTGCCTGTGCTGTGGGGACGAGCCACGCTGCCAGGCACGAAGGCCACGAGGGCGGAGGTGCCCTGGGCTCCTGGAAGCCCAGAAGCTATCCCTGAACCAGACACTGCATGTGGGCTGCTTACCAGTGCCGGCAACTGCGCCGAAGGGTGAGAAGCACTTGGCTGAACATGGAAAAATAAAGGGGACAGGAGAGAGGTACCTCGTTTTTAGAATTTCAGCTTGGGAGATGGAAATCAGTTTTCCTGGTTTTCTGCTATCAGGAGGAAACCTTTAAGAAAAATTACTTTGAGTCCTGTTTGGACTAAAGCTGTGTGTAGTGCAAGAGGAGCAAACAGCATCACCAGGGAGTAAAACCAAAGAGTAGAAAGCAGCAGAAGTGACCAGGAGACAGCGGCCATGCAGTGCCCGGAGGCAACACGCCGACAGCCCAGCCTCAGCCCTGAGCTAAAGCAGCTCCCGCTTGCCCACAGCCTGCTCTCCTGGGGCCACGCTCGCTGAGCAATGGTTAACCCCAGCGGTGCCAGCCCCACGAACCCGGGGCCCCAGCCTGGGGGAGAGCTCGTAACGAGATAATTTGCTGCTCCAGCAACCCCTCTGGAGGTGGACAGCAGGCAGCCCCATGCAAGCCCCCCGAGCCCCAGGCTGGCTTGCTCTGGGGCAGCGTCCCCCCGGGCGCTCTGTCCACCCTGCCCACGCAGAGCGAGAGCCCCGAGACCCACGGCCATAACCCTGCCGTGGCATCGCCCGGGCGCTCGGGTGCCCCAGCCGAGCTCCCCTCGCCAGGCACGAGGTGGTTTCGGGGGAAGCACAAAACAGCTCTGCTTGATCCAACAGAAGAGGGAGGGCAACTTCCTCAGGCGAAGCGAAGGGGACACACGGGTCGACGTGGCTGCCTTCAGACACCCTCTGAGCAGCCAAGGAGCAGAACTGAGCCCTGTGCCTAGGCAACATGGGCAGATTCAGTCCCAGGAACCAGCTAAAAAGAAAAACCAAGAGCCCAGTAAGGGCACAGCCAACAGGTTTGCACAGCCAGTAGCCAGCCAGACCGTACAGGCTTTTACGGAAACACAAAAGGTAACAGGGGTCGTATTCTTTAAAAGAAAGCCACATCCCAGCAGAGCTGAGCACGCTCGAGCCCAGCCAGAGGACTCTGCTCACGGTGTCACAGCAGCACTTCGCCCGTTGCTGCCTCAGCAGCAGCTGCAGTTGTGGAGAGGAGTAATTCAGCACCCTTCAGCTGGGGATCCTTGCAGGAATTTCGCACTATTTGCTCAGCTGAACGCTTCACCCAGAACTGCGTCACAAAACCAGGGTCCAACCTGGTTAATCTATATATTAATACTCTGCCCAGCAATCAGAGCCACACTGGGAAGAGGCGGCAGGCTTTTCAGGGAATATTGTGCTGTTCAGCCACCAGATTCTTGTTGCCATAGCAAAAATAATTTATTTATTTGCTAGGATTCAAACAGTAATGAGTAATAGAGTACGCAGGAAAGAGAAGCCAGAGTAAACATTGCCCAACAAGCATAAATCCGCATAGTCATACATGGCTTACTGAAAAGAAAAAAAAAAGTCAACCTTGTTTCAGGTGATGCTGGCTGTCAGGACCAGTCTGCACCCAGGTGGGCAAAAAAAGAGCCCCCATGTATAGAGATGCATTAGAAATAAAAATAACCAGTTTATAGAAACCAACCCGTGACATGAACAGTGAAAGTCAGCAGACACCTCACCACCAAAAGCTGAGGTGGGAAAGTCTGCAAGACCCCACAGCTAATGAAACAGCAGACACCCGATGGCTTCTCCCAAACCAGGGATATCGCCCTCAGTCTCAGGAGCACATCGTGGGGTTAAGCTGCACCCTCCACTCCACAGGCACTCTCTTTAGTGTGGCTTTGCTCTTCTCCACCCATGATCCCATTTGCTTGGCAGGTGTGCCAAAGCCAAGGTGACAATGTAGGGTGTTTTACACCCTGCCAACAGGAATGTCTTTGGCAATCCAAATCCTCACCTTATCACAGAATGTTTGGGGTTGGAAGGGACCTCTGTGGGCCATCTACTCCAACCCCCCCCAAAAAAAATCGTTCTAGGCATGAAAAGAAAAAAAAGATAATGAACCCCACAATTTAACTATATTCCAGAGTCAGAG